AAGAATAAAACAAAGATTCCTTTGCTACAAACAGGTTTGAAGAGCTCTGTTTTAGGTGCCCTTCAAGACCACCCCTCCCCAAATTTTCTTAACTGTGATTTTGCAATTTGAGTGCAGCCACTGCCCCTTCCTGGCGTTGGCTGAGCCAGTCAGTATTCCGAGTCTCAGTGTCTTCAAAATGGGCAGAAAGAGAAAACTACTTAGCTCTCAGGGCGATTGTGCAGAGGATTCTGCAGGAGGAAGGGAATGGTGGAGTTGTGCAATCATCAAACATTTTTTGAGTGGCAGCTCCAGGCCACACTCTGGCTAGGTGCTAGAGATACAAAGAGCCACGGGGCACAGAGTATAGTAGGAAACAGATAAACAAACCGGGTGCAGAGTCTCCTGGAAGAGAGACAAAGAAGCAGGCGTTTCAGTGGGAAAGCAATGCATGCCCCGAGTTAAGCCACGCCTCTGGAGGGTCAACCAGCCCAGCCTGGGGGTGAGGTGATAGGAGAGGATGGGGGTGGCAGGAAAGTGACATCCAGCAGGAGGCCTAGAGCAGAAGCAAGGAGCAATAGTGCTACTAGGGGCACATGTACCTATTTCATTCACAAAGGATTTGAGTCACATAGAATTAAGGCTTCTGAGGTTCCACTGCCTCTTTTGTGCAAGGATCTTACAGAAACCAAAGTAAATGCCATTTCTGGGTGTTTCTCCAAAGAAAATGAAAACCCGAATTTAAAAGGATAGGTGCACCCTTATGTTCACTGTAACATTATTTACAGTAGCCAAGACATGGGAGCAACCTAGGTGTCCAGCAATAGATGAATGGATAAGGAAGTAACAATGGAATATTACTCAGCCATAAAAAAGAATAAAATCCTGCTATTATGACAACATACATGGACCGAGAGGGTATGATGCTAAATGAAATGAGTCAGACAGAAAAAGGCAAATACTGCATCATTTCACTTATATGTAGAGTTTACAAAAATCACAACAAAGAACAAAAACAAACCAACACAGACTCAAAAGGAAAGAACAAATTGATAGTTGCCAGAGGGGAGGGAGTAGGGGGATGTGTGAGAAAAGTGACGGGAAATACAGTCAATAATAGAGCAATAACTTTGCACGGTGACAGATGATTAGACTTACCAGGGTGACTACCTTGGAGAACATATAAATGTCAAATCACTATGTTGCACATATGCAACT